TAATAATAATAATAATAGATATGAAAGACTGACCTTCCCCGTCATAGAAGTCTGCGTCCTCCAATCCGTGCATGGCGGCGTCCGGGTGGTAGTAGTTCAGCATCGCCCCCGCTGGTAACTCATGACCTTCACCTTCCTCCTCCAGCCCGTTCTGATGGTAGGTGAAGTTGTTGTTGCTGTAAGCCTGAGGCAGGAGACCTTTCGCTCCACCAAATCGGACGTGCTCGGTTTGTCTGCTCGCCGCTGTCCCGAATCTGAAGTCTCTATCCCTCCCCCGCCTCTGTTGTCTCAGTTTCATCTCCTTCGCTCTTTTCCGGATGAGGAAGAACACGCTGCCAGGTCCGTACATATTGACCAGTGGCCCTTTCTGGAGATTGTCAATGTTCACTTCGGCCTGCTGTTGGGATTTGAGTCTGGACATTCTGGATGCTCGACGTGCGTCTTTTTCTTTTTCGTCTAGCGTGTAGAGAAAGAAGCGGTACAAGGGTATCGTGTCTTCGTGCAGGCGCGAGAAGTGGAGTGTGAGCTTCGTGTGTACGATGTCCCTGAGCATCTCAAGGGTGGCAGGGTTGCGTTTTTCGATGAGTCTGTCGTAGTTGCGTTGGTCGAGGTGGTAGACGATAGATTCCTCCGTACACTCCACTGTCTGGGAGTACGTGGACAAGCCCATCGCCATCTCCAGGTCACCTAGGAGAGGAAGACATGTGAAAGAAAAATGTTCTGGTGATTTTACACCCCCCATTGACACAATTTAGACTTTCAGGTGGCACGCTTCCGACCCTGCCTGTCAGGGTAAACCGCACTGAAAAGGACACACCGTCCGAGGAGAAAAAATTTTCTCCTTTTCGGGAATCGAACTCGGATCTTCTGTGTGCCTCAGCAAACCGCCTAAATGCTATACCATAGACGCCGGTAGACGCGTAAAAGAGGATTTATGTTTTACAGTAAATCTTTTACATTCCATTCCCTGCTGAATTGCAAGTGTTTTACGCTCCCATCAACACTATTTAGATCATTTAGGAGGCGGGCTGATTCGACCTCGGCTGTCAGGGCTAATTTGGGCTGAGAAAGAGACACCATCCAAGTAGACAGACGGAGATATTCGAGAAAAAAATCATCACTTCAGGTTCATTGACAGTATATAATATCACTAATCCTTGGGGGACAAAAGCACAAAAGTATGAAGACGTGTTAGCACATGCATGATAATGATGGAGACAAGCCCAGTTGCTGCGGTCACGTCCTATAAATGCAGTCGAAATTGTCTAAGACGGCCAACCGTTGTCGAGAAAAAAAGTTGTTGTCTTGTACAGGTGGATTCTTGAATAGTATCATTATAATATTTTTAAAAAATACGCAAAAAAGGAAGCGGGGTGAGGCTGAGTGTAAAGTCGAAAGTGATCGTTTGCATAAGTGATTGTCTTGAACACGTGGCTATTTGAGCAAGTTCGACTGTAATCTGCGATTGTATTGAAAGGAGAGTAAAAGGCGGTCTTGCTGCACCCACCTATGGTATCCACGGCCCTGGCAAGGCACAGCTCTAAAGGCTTGAGCGTGGGTTTCTTGGCTTCTGACTGCGGCACAGCACGGCGCTGGTACGTCGAGCGACTTCTGTCGGACGTCCGGCTACGCTCCAGGTTCATCTCTCTGTGGTACGAAATTGATTTTCTTACTGCTGTGCTGGGATAATGTAGTGGAGGACAGATGATGGAAACTACACGTGTCCATTCAGAGGCAGAAAATCAGGTGGTTTGGACATCTGACACCTATGGCACCTTACTCAGCATGCCAGTAAAACGTACTGCAAAAGAATATCAGGGTACAAGGCAAGAGGAAGACCAAGGAAGACCTAGATTGAGAGTGTGAAGGATACCTTGAATACACACAGCATTCCGCCTAGCCAGGCCATCCAGCTTGCTAGAGACAGAAAGCTCTTTCTCCCTTCGACGCCCTAGATGGTACAAGAGGAAGTGTAAAGTAAAGTAAGTAAGTAAATTGGGATAATAATAGTGTTGTTAAGTGCATAATGCATGCTGTAGAGCGTGGATATACGTTAAGTTTTAGTAAGAGTTTTACGGCACTTTCAACACAATAAGGTCATATAAGTGCCGAAGATTAGATGCGTTACAAGAACAAGGAGGAGACAGAAGGACGATAGATGTTTGATCGGAAAGTTTTCTTTTACTTTTACAAGAACACGTCAGGATACGCACAGATCCTTTGATTATGCAGCTACCAAGTTAAATTTAATCGTGGACTTAAATGACAAGACATGATGTCTCTCTTTGCTCTCTATAGCAACATTCAAACAAAAGGCAAAACGCAAGTCTCGTTATGGTGAAGTGCCCCCAGCACCTCCCCCTTTTGTTTTTCATGCGGTTAAAATACAATCAAATGGTGAGCTCCACAGTAAACCGGACGTACGTCAGACTGCACGGCCTAAGAAAGTATAATATACATCGATGGATTAAAAGCATTTTACATATTCAACATACTGGTTTAATCTCTCAATCTCTCACTGACCTGCGCAGTAACTCTCTGGCCTTCTGACGCTCTAACTCTGCGATGTTTCCCAGTGGGTACAGTTGTTGGTACTGGTTCTCGTGATGGCTGGGGTCAAGCCGGACTTTGCACTGACCCCTGGGAGAACAAAAAGAACTCGGTGACGTGGGGGCTAAGGGTAATTTGTAATACCAGCAATATCAACAAAAGAAAGAAACGTAACTGTCACTATTGTTTTACTCTCCAGTACACACATCGAATACCAGCGCCTGCGGTGCAGCGGTTAGGCACTTTGCTGTTGCAAGCAGGAGACTCGAGTTCGGTTCTTGAGAGGGGAGAATTTTTATCGAGTATCTCGGTCTTCCAGATGGAATGTTGTATCACTCTCAGCCCAGGTTCGCCTTGACAGGCAGGATCGAAGCGGGCGTCCTGAATGGTCTAAATTTTGTCGATGGGGACGTAAAAGCACCTCCGTTAAAACAAACGAACAAAATAGTTTGGGTAATTTATGAGGCAAAATATTTTCACACCGTCGGCACCGGTCAAATCTGATGTATGGGTTCATCCAGTCAGAAAGACATAACATATCTCCCATCGAGAGAATCGAACTACCACCGTTCGTGTGCAGAGACTTATCATTACTTGAAGAGAAGATGGAAGAGCGTGGTATCGGTGAAAGGCATATGTTTTGTGTTTGTCAAAGGTTACACTTCTGTGAAGGACGCAGTGCCTACAGACTGATTTTGTGGCTACAGATAACAACATTGAAACAAACGGCGGTTTGAGGGTACCTTTGCATCGACACCATATCGAAGAATCAAAAGAAAAAAACACGAACAAAACGCAACCATTATTTCCACATAAAGATGTAGCCTACGGTAAACGAGGAAGATCCTGTCCATCGGCACCAATGAACAAACAAACAATCCCCCCCCCCTCCAATCAATTGTGTAAAAAAGACGTTCTGTTCGTCAACGAAATTCCTGTCCACCGGCATTAACCAACCAAACAACCAAACAACCAACCAACCAACCAACCAGCCAACCAACTAACCAACAATTATACACGAACAAACAAACATCAGTTCCAAAAGGACACGTACTGTATAACGAAGAAAATCCCGTCTACTGGTACCCCCTGCCGCACGATAGTATCCTCAAACTTCAGCACTTTCTTCTTCAAACTCATGGCCATCATCTTCTTATAGCGAACCTGCCAGTTGTGGAAGAGGGGACTGCACCGCACGAACTCCTTACGCTCCTCGAACTCGTTAGCCTGGAAGGCACGCAGTGACCTGGGGATACAAAATAAAGCACACACAATGACCACTGGCCAGTTGATGAGAACATTAGCTAATAGCTCATTGAATCTGTACAGGTCGAGCCGTCGATCTTGTCGAGGGCGAAAGTCTAGAAACAACATTATTTGACACGGACGTCAACATTAAGGATAATAATAACAAAAACAATGTTCACGATAATAAAGATGATAATATAAACAACACCAACACCACCACCAGCACTAACACCACAACCACCACTACCACCAACATGAACAACAACAACAACTACTACTACTACTACTACTACTACTACTACTACTACTACTACTACTACTACTTCTACTACTACTACCTTTCAAAAGAAGTCACAGCGACCCACATTGTGTGCACCAGGTATTACCTGTTGTAGAGATCTCTGTCGACACACAAGAGGTCGGAGGTCTCGTCAGCGATGATGGTGGCGTTTCTGACACAGTCGGCGTTAATCAAGGCCAGCTCACCGAAACTTTTCCCAGCATCTGTTGAGAGCAGAAAACAAAGACATTTTGGCTGAGTAAAAGCCTACTTAAATGATGGAAACCCTGAGAAATTATAATGTCCCAATGGAAAGAGCTGCAGAGCTGGCTTTCCATAGATAACTGCATCTCCCCTCGACGCTTAACGGCAACAAAGTATGAAAAATTAAAGTAAGTAAAAGTCTACTTTAAGCCCTCTTCCCCCTCCCCCACCTTAGTTCTTAAAGAATACAGTCGAAACTGCTCTAGCAAGGGGCACCTATCGGAGACAATCGCCTTAACAAACGACCAATTCCACCCCATCCCCCCTTAAACATATGATTACAATGTCAAAGACGTTCACCTGTTTAAGACAACTACTTCTATCATCAGGTACGGCAATATGGCAACCCACACTTAGCTCAACAGTGAGCGGAGGCTTCGGGTGCATGAAATAGGTCAAACAAGCTCCGAATGGAAAGCCCAAGAAGACTTTTATCGAGTTTGCGGCAAGTCCAACACTAAGAGGTCACATAAGTACCGAAGATTAGAGGTGTTACTGGAGTGTAAGGTACACAGAAAAGAAGGAATAGAGATAGGATGATATAATATGTTTGACAGGACAGGGGAGTAAACCACACCAAAACACTCGCTAACCTCCCAATAATTTTTCCCCGAGAAGCTGATTCATGAGGAATTCTCAAATCTGAACACAACTTTGTACTATTGAATAATTTCCTTACCAATCTTGCCGACGTAGATGCCATATTTTGACCGGTCCAGCACCCTCCCCTTCTCTTCCTCCTTCTTGACCGCCGCTTCTTCGTCCAGTTGGAGCTGTTTGACCGACTCATATTCTTCCTCGGTCAAGGTCGTGTTGATATGGATGGCTACCGTGCCACTAAGGATGATGTAGAAACTGGCCAGACAAAATGGCGGTTATTATTGGTTTTAGTTTTTTGAGTTTTTAATCTTTGTTTCTATTGCTACTGCCTCTTTGTTTGCTTTCAGCTTTATCAGTGGCTTTTTAGTTGGAAGAAGAGAGGAAGTGGGGGCATGGGATGGGTTTTATTTTAAT